ATTTTTGGGGATTTTTTTGGGATATTTTTGGGAAGTTTTGGGGTTTTTTGGGATTTTTTTGGGTTTTTTGGGGATTTTTTTTTATTTTCGGGGGATTTTTTGGGATTTTGGGGGGTTTTTTTGGGGTTTCTTTTGGGTTTTTTGGGGATTTTTTGGGGTTTTTTGGGGGAATTTTTTTTTTTTGGGGAATTTTTGGGTTTTTATGGGGAATTTTTTGGGGGATTTTTTAGGGTTTTTTGGGGGGGGTTTTTTTGGGGTTTTTTTGGGATTTTTTGGGGGTTTTTTTTGGGATTTTTTTGGGGTTTTTTTTGGGATTTTTTCGGGGATTTTGGGGGATTTTTTGGGGGTTTTTTGGGAATTTTTTGGGAATTTTTTGGGAATATTTTTGGGAATTTTTGGGAATATTTTGGGGGGATTTCTTGGGATTTTTAATTTTTATTTTTGGGGATTTTTGAGGGATTTTTTTGGATTTTTAGGAATTTTTGGGGATTTTTTTGGGAACTTTTGGGGGGATTTTTTTGATTTTTTTTTTTATTTTTTAGGGATTTTTTGGGAATTTTGGGGATTTTTTGGGTAATTTTCTGGGATTTTTGGGAATTTTGGGGGGGGATTTTTTGGGGATTTTTTGGGAATTTTTGGGAATTTTTGGGGGATTTTGGGGGGGATTTTTTTTATTTTTTTGGATTTTTGGGGAATTTTTGGGGGATTTTTTGGGAATTTTTTGGGAATTTTTTTGGGATTTTTTGGGAATTTGGGGGGATTTTTGGGGGGGATTTTTTTTGATTTTTTAAAATTCTTTGGGAATTTTTTTGGGATTTTTTTGGGATTCTTGTGAATTTTGGGGGGGGATTTTTTGGGGGGATTTTTTTGGGAATTTTTGTGAATTATTTCGAATTTTTTTTTATTTTTTAGGGAATTTTTTTTTATTTTTGGGGAATTTTTTGGGACAAATAATCCCAAATTCTCCCAAAATTTCCCAAATTATCCCAAATTTTCCCGGTTTCTCCCATTTTTTCCCGCAGTACGAGGAAGTGGCCGACAAGGACGATCTCATGGGCGTGGAGGACACGGCTCGCAAAGATATCCTGGAATTCCCTGGGAATTTTCAAGGAGTTTTTTGGGATGGAATTTTAGGGGAAAAAATTGGGAATTTTGGGGGGAAGTTTAGGAATTTTTGGGGGGAATTTTTTGGGAATTTTTTAGGAATTTTTAGGGAATTTTTTGGAATTTTTGGGGAATTTTAATGGAATTTTTTGAGTTTCTTTTTAATTTTTAAGGGTTTTTTTTTGGGTTTATTTTTTATTTGGGGATGGAATTTTTGGGAATTTGGGGAAGTGAAATTTTTAGGGAATTTTTGGGAATTTTTGAGGTCAAATTTGGGATCTTTTTGGGCAGATTTGGGAATTTTTTTGGGCAGATTTGTGGAAATTTTTGGGAATTATTTTTGGTCAAATTTGGGAATTTTTTGAGGCAGATTTGGGAATTTTTTGGGGAAGATTTGGGAATTTTTTGAGTCAAATTTGGGAATTTTTTGGGGCAAATTTAGGAATTTTTTTGGGAATTTTTGGTGGCAGATTTATGGAATTTTTGGGGAATTTTTTGGGGAAGATTTGGGAATTTTTTGGGTCAAATTTGGGAATTTTTTGGGGCAGACTTGTGGAATTTTTGGGGCAGATTTGGGAATTTTTTGGGGATTTTTTGTGGCAGATTTATGGAATTTTTGGGGAATTTTTTGGGGCAAATTTGGGAATTTTTTGGGGCAAATTTGGGAATTTTTTGGGAATTTTTAGTGGCAGATTTATGGAATTTTTGGGGAATTTTTTGGGGCAAATTTGGGAATTTTTTGGGTCAAATTTGGGAATTTCTTGGGTCAAATTTGGGAATTTTTTGGGGCAGATTTGGGAATTTTTTGGGGAAGATTTGGGAATTTTTGGGGCAAATTTGGGAATTTTTTGGGGCAGACTTGTGGAATTTTTGGGGCAGATTTGGGAATTTTTTGGGGATTTTTTTGGGGCAGATTTATGGAATTTTTGGGGAATTTTTTGGGGCAAATTTGGGAATTTTTTGGGTCAAATTTGGGAATTTCTTGGGTCAAATTTGGGAATTTTTTGGGGCAGATTTGGGAATTTTTTGGGGAAGATTTGGGAATTTTTTGGGGCAGACTTGTGGAATTTTTTGGGAATTTTTTTGGGTGAAATTCTGGAATTTTTTCCATCAAATTCTGGGAATTCTGGGGCTGCGGATTTGAGAACTTTTCGGGAATTTTTTTTGGGGGTGAAATTCGGGAATTTTTTCCATCAAATTCTGGGAATTCTGGGGCTGCGGATTTGAGAACTTTTCGGGAATTTTTTTTGGGGGTGAAATTCGGGAATTTTTTTTTCCCACCGGATCCCGGTAATTTTAGGTTTGCAGATCTCTGGGAATATTTTTGGGGATAAATCCCGGAATTCCTTGACTCCTTGGGAACGTTTCTTTTCCAAGCCTTCCCTCCGGAGCAGGAACACCGTCTTCACCCTCGGAAACCGCGGCGCCGTCATCGGCCCCGCCGAGCTGGAGGCGCCCATCATCGTCCCCCACGCCGCCCAGAAGGGCGAGCAGAGGGTGATGGGGGGAACTGGGATGAACTGGGATGAACTGGGAGGGACTGGGAGCAAAAAACGGGGAGAAAAATGGAAAAAAATGGGGAAAATATGAAAAAAAATGTGGATTTTGGATGAAAAATGGGATTTTTCGGGGTGAAATTGATGGGAAATGTGGATTTGGGGATACTGGGATCGACTGGGATAAACTGGGATGAACTGGGATGAACTGGGATGAACTGGGATGAACTGGGAGGGACTGGGAGCAAAAAACTGGGAGAAAAATGGAAAAAAATGGGGAAAATATGAAAAAAAATGTGGATTTTGGATGAAAAATGGGATTTTTCGGGGTGAAATTGATGGGAAATGTGGATTTGGGGATACTGGGATGAACTGGGATAAACTGGGATGAACTGGGATGGACTGGGAGCAAAAAACCGGGAGAAAATCCATGGAAAAATGGGGAAATTATGGAAAAAAATAGGGAAAATATGAGAAAAAAATGTGGATTTTGGAGAACAAATTGATGGGAATCGATGGAAAAACGGGGATTTGGGGATACTGGGATATACTGGGGTAAACTGGGACGGACTGGGATGAACTGAGAGGGACTGGGATGGACTGGGATAAACTGGGATGAACTGGGAGGGACTGGGAGCAAAAAACCGGGAGAAAAACGGGAAAAAAACGGGGAAAATATGAAAAAAAATGGTATTTTTGGGGTGAAAATAGCAAAGAAAGGGTGGGAAATGGGGATTTGGGGATACTGGGATGGACTGGGATAAACTGGGATGAACTGGGATGAACTGGGATGGACTGGGAGGGACTGGGATGGACTGGGAGGGACTGGGAGCAAAAAACCGGGAGAAAAATGGAAAAAAATGGGGAAATTATGAGGAAAAATGTGGATTTTGGAGGTGAAATTGTGGGAAATGTGGATTTGGGGATACTGGGATGGACTGGGATGAACTGGGATGAACTGGGATGGACTGGGATGGACTGGGATGAACTGGGATGGACTGGGATGGACTGGGACAAACTGGGATGGACTGGGATGAACTGGGAGGGACTGGGAGCGAAAAACCGGGAGAAAATCCGTGGAAAAATGGGGAAAATATGAAAAAAATGGGAAAAAATCGGATTTTTGGGGCAAAATTGATGGGGAAATGGGGATTTGGGGATACTGGGATGGACTGGGATGGACTGGGATGAACTGGGATGGACTGGGATGGACTGGGATGAACTGGGATGAACTGGGATAAACTGGGAGCAAAAAACCGGGAGAAAATCTGTGGAAAAATGGGGAAAAAATGAGAAAAAATGTGGATTTTGGAGGAGAAATTGGTGGGAATTGATGGAAAAATGGGGATTTGGGGATACTGGGATGGACTGGGATGGACTGGGATGGACTGGGACAAACTGGGACAAACTGGGACAAACTGGGACAAATTGGGACAAACTGGGCCATCTTTTCCTGGGAAAAACGTGGAAAAAAACCCATAAAAAATGACAAAAAAAGGGAAAAAAAAAGGGAAAAAATAACAAAAAAAAAATGGGGAAAAAAATCCAGAAAAAATGGGGGAAAATGCAGAAAAAAAATCGAGAAAATCCCTGGAATTTTTCCCGTTTTTTTCCCGTATTTTTCCATGAAAAAACCGGGAAAAATTCTAAAAAACGGTGGAAAAAAAGCGAAAAAGCGACAGAAAAACGTGGAAAAAACACCAAAAATCCCCGATTTCGATCCCGTTTTTTTTTCCCTGGAATCCACGATGTTTTCCCGAGGTTTTTTCCCGATTTTCCCATTTTTTTCCCGGTTTTTAGTATCCGTTTGAGTCGCTTTTCCGGAGCCAGCACTACGCCCTGTTGGACACCAGCTGCCGCGAGTTCTCCTTCCTCACCGAGTTCTTCCTCGTGGCCGGAGCGGCCGCCCAGGAATTGTTCAACTCCGTCATGGGAAAAACCCTTGGAATGTTCCAGGTGAATTCCTGGGAATTTGGGGAATTTTTGGGAATTTTTTGGGATTTTTTGGGATTTTTTTTGGATTTTTTTATGGATTTTTTAAGGTTTTTTTTTGGATTTATTTTGTATTTTTAAAGGATTTTTTGGGGTTTATTTAGAATTTTGAGAGGATTTTTTGGGAATTTTGGGGGCTGGAAATTTTGGGAATTTTTTTGGAATTTTTTTGGAATTTTGGGGATTTTTTGGATTTTTTTTTGGCTTTTTTTGGGATTTTATTGGGTATTTTTAAGGCATTTTGGGGAATTTTTGGGATTTTCTGGAGGGTTTTTGGAGCGGCCGCCCAGGAATTGTTCAACTCCGTCATGGGAAAAACCCTTGGAATGTTCCAGGTGAATTCCTGGGAATTTGGGGAATTTTTGGGAATTTTTTGGGATTTTTTGGGATTTTTTTAGGATTTTTTTTGGATTTTTTTTTGATTTTTTTCAGATCATTTTGGCTTTTATTTTATTTTTTTAAGGGTTTTTTAGGATTTTTTTTTATTTTTAAGGATTTTTTAATTTTTGGGGGCTGGAATTTTTTAGGATTTTTTTGGGAATTTTTGGGGGATTTTTTTGGAATTTTTTAGGATTTTTTGGGAAGTTTTTTGGGATTTTTTTGTATTTTTGGGGGGGACTTTTTTGGGGATTTTTTGGGGGGATTTTTTTTTGATTTTTGTATTTCCTGAGATTTTGGGGTCAATTCCCTGGAATTTCGGGTCAATTTCCCGGGATTTCAGGTCAATTTCCCGGGATTTCGGGTCAATTTCCCGGGATTTCGGGTCAATTTCCCGGGATTTCCCGCCAATTCCCCGTGATTTCCCGCCAATTCCCCCGGGATTTCCCGCCAATTCCCCGGGATTTCCCGCCAATTCCCCGGGATTTCAGGTCAATTTCCCGGGATTTCCCGCCAATTCCCCTGGATTTCCCGCCAATTCCCCTGGGATTTCCCGCCAATTCCCCGGCATTTCCCGCCAATTCCCCGGGATTTCCCGCCAATTCCCCGGCATTTCCCGCCAATTCCCCGGCATTTCCCGCCAATTCCCCGGGATTTCCCGCCAATTCCCCGGGATTTTGGGTCGTTTTCCCAGAATTCCGCACCAATTTCCCCTGAAACTCCCGATTTCCCCCCAAAATTCCCAATTTTTTCCCTTAAAATTCCCAATTTTCCCCTGAAACTCCCAATTTTCCCCCTGAAATTCCCATTATTTTCCCCTGAAATCCCCAATTCTCCCCCTAAAATTCCCAATTTTTTCCCCCAAAATTCCCAATTTTTCCCCTTAAAATTCCCAATTTTCCCCTGAAATTCCCTATTTTCCCCCTAAAACTCCCAATTTTTCCCCTAAAATTCCCAATTTTTCCCCGTAAAATTCCCAATTTTTCCCCGTAAAATTCCCAATTTTTCCCCGTAAAATTCCCAATTTTTCCCCGTAAAATTCCCAATTTTTCCCCGTAAAATTCCCAATTTTTCCCCGTAAAATTCCCAATTTTTCCCCGTAAAATTCCCAATTTTTCCCCGTAAAATTCCCAATTTTTCCCCGTAAAATTCCCAATTTTTCCCCGTAAAATTCCCAATTTTTCCCCGTAAAATTCCCAATTTTTCCCCGTAAAATTCCCAATTTTTCCCCGTAAAATTCCCAATTTTTCCCCGTAAAATTCCCAATTTTTCCCCGTAAAATTCCCAATTTTCCCCTGAAATTCCCTATTTTCCCCCTGAAACTCCCGATTTCCCCCCGAAATTCCCGATTTTTCCCCCGGAACATTCCAGAAGCACATGGAGAGCTACGTGTCCGACTGTTACGACGCCATCGCCGTTTTCCTGTGCATCCACCTGGCGCTGCGATTCCGATCCCTCATGGCCAAGAGGAACGTCCCGGCCGTGGACGGGTGAGAATTCCCGGGAAAACCGGTCGGGAATTTTTCCTGGGAATTGTTTGGAATGTTAAAAAAATCCCCCCCCCCCAAAAAATCCCAGGAATTCCTAAAAAAATCCCCTCAAATATTCGCGAAAAAGTCCTGAAAAATCCTAAAAAAATCTCAAAAAATCCTAAAAAATATCAGAAAAATTCCCCAAAAAATTCCCAAAAATTCCCCCAAAAATCCTGAAAAATCTCAGAAAAATCCCCCCAAAAATTCCCAAAAAATCCTAAAAAAATCTCAGAAAAATTCCCAAAAAA